GTATAGTTTTATTCTGTAATGTGATGCAAATATGTGCACAGCCATTTTCTGGCATAGTTTTGTACTGCGATGTGTTGCAAATATTGTTAGCAAATTTTGTTTTTGCACAGCTATGTTCTGGCATAGATTTATTCTGTAATGTGTTGCAAATATTGTGTGCACAGCCATGTTCTGGCATAGTTTTGTTCTGTCTCAAACACCAGTAATTTTATTGTATTACGCATTAAAATAAACCCAATGTCCCCATATGAGGACATCATTTTTCTCAAAAACGACTTCCTGTTCAAAGACCATACTTGGATTTTATACTTATCATGTCCCAATAATCCCAAATAGATAGGAAAAATTAAAATGCATATGAAACCAAAGCTCAGGACTCTAGAGGATAATGTGATGCATTTTCTGAATAGAGTTGTTGCCTTCACTGAATGTTGAATGTGGAATCTAATCTAAGTCAGTGGTTCCCAACCTTTCTGGCTTGTGGATATTTAAAACTGAAGCAGCACTTGGGACTCCTCATGCAGTTCAACTGAGGAATTTTTATTTTCTAACTTCATTCTAGTGAATGATATTTAGAAGGGGTGAATGCAAGCAGTATTTCACAAGATAAAAAAAGATGAAGACGTTAGGGTTAGTTAAGGGTTAATGTAGCTGTTCTGACTTTGAAACTCCGCCTCCTTTGGGTGAAGCAGGAAGTGCTCACAGTTCGGCACGTATTTCTCTCACTGGACTGTTTGTCAGGTATGTTTGGCTCTAACCTTTCATGGACGACTATAGCTATTCAGTTTGCACTGATGTGTTATAGAAATAGACTACACTGCAGTTGATAGTGGGTATAAATAAGGGCCCTTCCTGTGTTTCATCAGCGCCTACGCCTTTGCCCTACTTTCGTTTTCAGAGTTCAACAGGAGCTAAGTGTGACAATGGCACGTAGGCTCTCGCTCCCAGAGGCGGACCTCTCCTGTCCCATATGCTGCGACATCTTCAGGGACCCAGTGGTTCTCAAATGCAGCCACAGCTTCTGTGGACCCTGTCTGCAGCAATACTGGACTCAGCAGAGACAAAGCCGTGACTGTCCTCTGTGCAGAAGCCAAAGTGCCGATGATCCCGTACCCAGTCTCTCCCTGAAGAACCTGTGTGAGGCTTACCTCCAGGACAGTGAGGACCCGGGGGAGACAGAGGAGAACCTCTACTGTGAACCAGAAGACATGTGTCGCTATCATGGAGAGAAGCTTAAGCTCTTTTGCCTGTCGGACAAGGAGCCCATCTGTGTTGTTTGCCACACCTCAAGGAAGCACAAACAGCATGAGTGCTGCCCTGTCAGCGAGGCCATTGTGGACGTGAAGGTAAATACATGACAAAATGTAGAACTAAGGTGGAATAATGATATGCTTCTCCTTGGGGTTGTTGCTTTAAGTTCCCTGAATAGCTGATATGTTCAAGGATATTTCCAGGTTCAAGTTAATCTGGCCTTCAGATGAATTTTCTCTCAATCTGCTCAGGAGAAAATGAAGTCAGCCCTCAGCTCACTGCAAAAAAAGAGGGACGCTTTTAACAAAGTGAAGACAAACTATGAGAAAACTGTGGCACACATTGAGGTACAGTGCTGATTTTGGCGACCTTTCTAAAAAATAAAAAGCACTCACCTTTCCAAAGCCATACTTACGCAAGTTTCATTTCAGGTCCAGGCTCGATTTGTGGAAAGGCGGACCCATGAGGAATTTGAAAAGCTTCGCAGCTTCCTTCAGGCCGAAGAGGAAGCCAGGATGGAGGCGCTGAGACAGGAGGAGGAGCAGAAGAGTCGAGAGATGAGGCAGAAGATTGAAGAAATGGAAAGAAAAGTAACATCTGTGTCTGCATCCATCAGTGTGTTGGAGGAGGAGATGGCTTTAGATACCATCTCCATCCTTCATGTAAGTTTGTTGAGAAATGAATAACTGCATGGATACTTGCATAAAAAGCGTTCTTCAGAAATATTTGTAAATTTGCTTGTATTTTTTTTTCTTAGAAATGCAAGAGGACACTGGCAAGGTAGCAAAATACGTATATATATATATAATATAATTTTTGTTTCGTAACAAGAGACATCAACAGCAGTTTTCTTTGCAGAGCTAACTCTCCAGTTGAAGATCCAGCTATGCCTCCAGGAGCTCTTATAGATGTGGCCAAACATCTGGGCTCCCTGACGTTCCATGTGTGGGAGAAGATGCATAAAATCATCAAATACAGTGAGTACATTCTCTGAGTTTTAGAGTCATAGTGAGGCTTGAGTTTCGGTTTCACTTGCTCCATGGATTCCTGATGTAGAGGAAAGGTTGTGATGCTGAATGAGCAGCTGACAATCTGCCGTGTGTTCTTCAGCCCCAGTGACTCTGGACCCCAACACTGCTGCCCCGTGGCTCGTCCTGTCAGACGACCTCACCAGCGTCTGTGACAGCGATGAGAAGCAGAGGCTGCCTGATAACCCGGAAAGGTTCGACCCAGACACCAGTGTACTGGCCTGCGAGAGCTTCACCTCAGGCAAGCACACCTGGGATGTCAGTGTGGGAGATAATACAGCATGGGTCGTCGGGGTGGCCAAGGAATCTGTCCAGAGGAAAGAGAAAGTGTCTTCAGTGCTGATGAACGGCTACCTGTGTGTGTACTTCTACCACAAAATGTACTTTGCAGGTACCTCTCCTTTAACTCGACTTAACTTGAAGAGGAACCCGCAAAGAATCAGAGTGCAGCTGGACTGTGACAAGGGCAAGGTGTCTTTCTATGACCCGTATGACAACACGCACATCTACACCTTCAAGCACACAATTTCTGAGAAAGTCTTTCCATACTTCTGGGTGGGATGTCAGCAGTGTCCTTTGATTGTTGAACCACTGGATGTTTCTGTGAAGGCTGCTGGGTTTTGTTGAAAAAACATTTCAACATCGCAACAGTTTTTTTTAGCACAACAAGATGTTGAGCTTTTTTTAAGAGTGCTCAGAATAGAAATCATATTGCTCTTTATCTGTTTTCCTCTCCTGGTTCAGTGTAATGTCCTCCAACTTTTTTCAATTCAAATTACAATGTCTGTTCATTTACAATACATGTGATCTCTGCACTTTAAATCACTATAGAATGTCTCACTATTTCTCTTGCAATTGTCTGAGTTGTTAATGTAAAACAGAATGTGGCAGCATAAACTTTGCCTTGTAGCCTAAGCCTACTACATATTTTGTTGTACTGTAACCTGGAGAAAAATGCAAAAGAAATCTGGAATATTGTGGATTCAAGTTTGAAAAATGATTGTGCCTTTGCATGTCAACCTCTGAATGCTGGTCTCTTTTATAAAATCAAGTTTATAACTAAACCCTAAATATGCTTTATGTGAAAATACTAATGTTACTGAAATTTGAGGGTGGAAATTTACAAATAAACAAACTGCAATTATCACGACTTCTCTTGGTTTTCTGCAACCTGCAGATCTGATCCATAGACCTACATGTTTGTCCAAAAATGAAACGATATATTTTTTTATGGTGTGAATCCTATTACTGTCAAGTATGTGATAACGTGAAAACAGTGTCATAGGGAAAATTATATAAAATTCGTACAAGCCAGGTAAAGTGGGGTGGCATGATGGTGCAGTGGATAGTAGTGTCACCTCGCAGGAAGAAATCACAGTACTGACAGGCCTTTCTGTCTGGAGTCTGCATGGTCTCCCTGTGTCTGCCCGGGTTTCCTACGGGAGCTCCAGCTCCCTCCCGCAGACCAAATGTGCAGGTTAGGCGGATTTGCGACCAGCTTGTGACACTACATTGCCCTTAGGTGTGAATGTGAATGGTTGTGTCTAGTGTCATGACAGGCCCAAAGCTTACACGCAGGAGCAGTACACCAAGTACAAGTCCAAATCTAAGGATAACTTTGACCCTCGTATGCCGGGCGTCAACGGAGGGTGCCACAGTTTTGACTCGTACATCACCGCCACTGCCACTTCCTCCAACATGTTCTCATCCAAGGTGGGGCCAAATTATATTTGGCATATGTTCACGGCTAAAGACCTGGTGGGGAAGGTAAACATTGAAAAAAACAACTACACTGCTCTAGTCCAAGGTGAAGCAGTACTGCCTCTATGATACCTGTGTGGACAGCATACATGAATCCACCATGATTCTCTATGGACAGCATACATGAATCCACCATGATTGTAGTTTTTGATAGCTGTCAGTGCTACCCATCGACCTGATCAAGTATAAAGAGCTACTCAGGGAGAGTGATATTTGATGAAAAAGAGAGTAGGCTCGCACATTGACATTGACATTGGCTAGCAATAAACGTTGTAAAATGAAATGCCATCTAATGTATAAACCTACAGCTGCAGCAAATGTTCTGTTTGTCATGGTTTGGAAGTACTTCCTGTTCTGTACTTTTATTTTGAAAGCATTTTTCTATCCATGTCATCTCACCTGCCTTAGCTTTACTCCAGCCTTGGATTAACGAGTGTTGCCTTTACCTGTTGCTCACTGGCTCCAAGTCTCAGTCTATATATTCTCCTCACTGCTCTCAGTTAGTTGCCATTTCATCTGTGTTCCACACCCTGCTTTGTTCCTGTTCTTCCTGCTTCATTGTGGTTTTCTCCTGTTTTGTTTGCCTCCTGTAAATTTTTTGGACTCTTCCATTGTGCCTCAATTATGGACATTGAACGTTGACTTTCTTGCTTTTCACATTCAGTTCATGGTTGTGGTAAACTTTCTCTTGAGTTTAATTGGTCTTATTACTTGTTTACAATTTCATTTTATTGGTCCCTGATAGGGTTGCTGAGTTATATATTTGGTTTTCTTTTGATGTTGTTGTGTTGCTTTTGGTCATGTGGAGGTCTTGTGTTTGTCATTTTTAGCTTTGTGTTACTTATATTAAAACCTTACTAACTGAAAATTAGTTTTTGTCTGCATTTGGGTCCTCCCCCCAAGACTGAACCCGACACTGTTTACTTATATAAAATGATGAACATGCAGATTATGTCCAATTAAGTTCTAATTGAAAACAGCAAAGATTTAAGCAGAGTGAAGATGTAAAATGTGTTCCCAAATGTGAAGCACATGTTTTAAAATGTCTTTATTGTGTTTTTTTTATTTGATGAAAATAAGTACATTTGTTTTTCTTTCAAAGCTGTTCTGATCAAATTGAAATGTCATGTTTATGAAAAACTCTGAACTGAATACACTGATCTCGGTATATTAACATCCTCCATTATCATTTGTTTATAGCCACATGGTTGCACGTTTTTCAAATATCAGACTGGAATGCATTTCACCAAAGTCTCATGTAGTAAAAGCATAATTATTTCAAAATATCTACTATAAATCTATTCTGTTTAAGACATTTCACACTTTCTTTGCAGTTTGAGTACAAAATGACATTAAACTGCTGGCACAGTAATTTTCAAAGAACAACAGTAATTCCAGATGTTTGAGTTTGCATGTAAAGAGCAGTGCAACTGATGCAACAGGCTGTCACATCAGTTACTCAGACAGCAAACACAACTATCCTTGAACTATTCCTTTAAGGGATCCAGGTGAAACTGTATTAACTGTCACTCCCAAATTATTTTATGTTTGGCTCTGAAGCAGTCAAAGTTAAAAATGAGCACTGTACTGATAAGTCCAGTTCTGTTTTCACATCCTTCACAGATGTGCAGTACACAAACTGGAGCAAACATGAGAAATGATGGTGGAGAACTTTAAGGTCTACTGTCACTTACTGATTTTCCTTAAATTTCCCTTATAATTCAAGAAGGAGTTAGATTTTGAGGCTTGGAGACAGACAAGATGTGGTTTATACAAAAAAAGCCTCCAGCTTCATCTCAGCTCAGTGTCACTTGAATCTTGTGTGTTCAAAGTAGATACAAAAGATGTCTTGCAGTTTCCATTTGAAAACGTTAAGTTGACATCTTGGGCATGTATATTTATGTAGACATGGACATAACAGCTCTGTTAATCAATGCACGAGTTCTGCCCAGTTTTAAAATTTATCTTGAAATGATATTTAGTACTTTATGATGTTTAAAGACTGCAAGAATAAGTCAACTAAGAAGGCATTACACTTTTATATACAGTATTTATCTTTTAAATTGTGCAAGTCTGCATTTGTTTTCAATAATCCAACTTACTAAGACAAAAAAAAGAAAAATCATAATCACAAGATTAAAATTACATTTACAAAAAAAACAAAAAGACCATAAGTTTGGTCTGTTCTGAATAATAATGCACCGTCCACACAAGAATAAAAAAGGGATGACAATATGGTAATAAATGACAAGGCCAAAAACGATGTCAAACTGTTATAAGTAGATGGCAGATCAAGCCACATTTACATTTCGCAGATGTAAACAAGATTAGAATTGTGTAGTCACACCAACGGTGAGACTGTAATGTTTTTTACATACCAGAGAAGAAAATGTTGGACTTGATAAGAACTTCCTTACTCTCAATTCTTACTAAAAAAAACAAAAAAAACAAAACTAAGGTTTGGTCAGCAGGTGGCGCCAGAGGTGAGGCCATGTTATCCAATTCAATGGATGGTTTATGCTTTGCAGACTAACATCTCAGCTCACGTTAACATTAGTGCGGCCACAAACACTTAATGAAACGAAACTTGAAGGCAACATAAAATACAGGATTAATACACAAATCACATATTTTCACACAGGGTCATAAGTGTAATGTCAGTTCATTTTGCACCAGGTGTCTAACAGTAGCACCTGTCTCCAGCACAAATTACAGCCGTGTGTTTTGCTTCTGCATTTTTTTCTTTTAATTTGTTTACATGTGTACTGTGTATATACATATTTACTATGCAGTACAGTAGTGAAAAGGTCCCTGCAAAATAGCATGGAAAAAAACTGACGCCAGTCAGAGGGGAGGGCATAGTTAGTTTTTTTTTCGCCTGTATGAATTGATTCCTTATGATTTAAACAGTGTTGCCATTGACTTCAAAAATATTTGAGAATACAGAGGAAAGATGATGGTGTGGCTGTAAAACAAGGTTCATTCACAGGCCAACTTGCTGTCAAAGCTTGACAGACCAATGGCAAAGGCCTGAAGAGCACACATGGGATAATTGTAGTCTAGGGTGAAGACGTCTTCAGCCACTCTGCCGAACTGCATGACAATGTAGTCAGCTAGAGTGAGGGGAAACAGTCATACTGGGTCATACTGTTCAGTAATTGAATAATACATTAATAGGAGTATATTTTATGTAGTTTCCTCCTTAATGGTAAAATGATTTCAACCCTGAAGAAGACGTGACGAGAGAAGAAAATACTTACGGTCATTATCATGAACTATTTGAAAGTTCTTGACTGAAGCTTGAGTGACGCGGCCGTGGAAGTTCAGCACATAGGACTGGGTGTCATCATTCCACACCGGGGCCTTGTTGTGCAACTCTATTAGGCTGTCCACTGAGTGATTCTGCCACCTGCTGAGGAGGCTCTCCTGCTCCTGTCATACAAATAGGTTATTATGAAACCATCATAAATGGCAATACAGTGGGCTTGTACAACTGTGTAGTCAAGTTGAAAATACACTGATAAACAAAATTAGACTGATGACATTAGACAACCACCAGACTCACATTTTGAGGTCTCACAGGGACTCTTTCAAAGTTCATGTTCATGCCCGGGATGATTACGGTCATTTTACGTGGCCCTTTGAATCCCAGCACGTTGGTTTCCTGTCAAGAGAGCGTGTGACAGTTTCACTTAGTAAAATCAATGTTCAGAGGACTCACTGAACACATCTCTTGTCTTTGTCTTTCGCTCACATAGCAGATGGCAGCCAGTTCCTGTCGCGTGTTGGTCTCTTCCAGTAAAGCACCAGGGTTTTTGCAGGGATTGGTGCCGTTGTTGTACACTGTGAATTTGGTGCCCATGAGGTTGGACCTGTGACAATACACCAGAGATGAAGTGTTCACACCATTTCACATGTTTAAACTTCTGGCAGCATTTTGATGTGGAGTGGCAGTAGCAAAAGCACTGTGTGTGTGACTGACTAATGCAGCTATGTGTCACAGACCTGTAGGTCATGTAATTTGTTTCATGCAATCAGAACAAAATGCAGTGATCCCATCAACATTTTCAGGAAGATTTAAGGCAGATTACAGTATGTTAGATGTACCATAAAACTACATTAACTAAGATTTAGCACATATTTTGATAAATCAAGTAAAAATTTGTCTAGAAGTGTTTTCTTCCATCTGTATCACCCGCCCTACTCTGCTATCTTCAGGCCCTGTGTTTATTTGTTTCCCTCTGTGGCCAGTGTTGTTAAAATCTGCATTGCACTTCTTCCACGACCCCTCTGATCCGAGGTTATAAATTGCTAAAAAGCAAACCTCTTTATTTGACATTGTGTCACTGCAATGTCACCAAAAACTGCGGGCTCTATGGGCTCTATATTCTGTACACATTTGTTTTGGAGCCGATTTTTACTGCTGCGCTACTCAACTGCTACAACTGTCTCCAGCTGTTGTGACCACATGTGACGTAGTTTCATAGCCAGGGCAGGAGGGGCAAAGAGGCGTGGATGGAGAAGAGGAGGGGACACAGTGCTTGAGTTTCTTTTGACTTAGTTAATGCAGCTTTAAGGTATGCTATCAACACAAGACACTTTAGCGTGATTTTACCTCAGTTTACCGATGAAGCTCTCGCCCTCTCGTGACAGATCAGTGGCATCCACTGAAATAAGGTAGTTGGACGTCTTACTCTTCTTTCTCTTCCTTCCTGCCAGCAGAAAGACCTGAAAAGACAGAGATTTCCCTTTTAAGTATAAAAAAAGTCTGAAACACCCCTTCCATTGTTTTCATATATATCTCAAACTCACGCTCCAAACAAGAACACTGTCACAAATCCTTACAGTAACTTAAGACCCGTGGCCCACACTCACCCTCTTCCCATCCTCTCTCTCCATGTGCATGAAGTAGGTGGGGTAGAGGCCACGGTCCATACCCTTCTTATCCCGGGTGATTCGACATTTAACTGTGACACCACGTGGAGCTGGACGCAGGACAAACTCCTCTAGATTGGCAACATCAATTAGTGAGCTCTCTGCTGCAGGTGATGCTGGTGTTACAGCCTCCTGGGTAGAAGGAAAACACAGGAGTGTTTGTATAGATAAGAGATTTTTCTACAGGCTATTTAGTAATTTAGTTGGGGCCAAGATTACAGCATGCAGTGTTAGGCGGCTTCTTGGTGAGCAAACTTACTGGGCTACTTACCGGACCGTCTTTGCCACTGGCAGCAGAGGCAGGTCTGGTGCTGTCTGTGTGAGGGGATTGGGAATGTGTCCGTTCTTCCTCCATATCATCCTCATGCTCGCTAGCTTCATCGAAGTTCATACTGCCAGACAGACCTAGTGAGAGAGAGGAGGCAAAAGTCACAGAGAGTGACAAAAATGAAATTCTCCATTATTTCCCTGCTAGAAAGCAAATTCACACAGAGAACAGTACTGTACTGTGTACTGTAATTCCATAACTACAAAAGAATCTTTTTATTTTTTTCATACACTTCTTTAGTTTTAAGGTGTATTTTACAGTTTTTTAAAAATCTATAATCTTTTAGATATAACATGTTTCATAAGTGACATAGTACTTTTATATTTCTCAGAAATTTACAGCTGAGTATTTTATTTTACAAGGGGGAAACTGATCACAATCCTTTTATCAGCAAAAGAAGAAAGAGAAGAGAGAAAACTTGTGAATCTGAGCTATCTCCAGACTGCCTTCTATCAAACAGAATAATATGACAATTCAGTTAAGCTGCGCTCAGCACTCATAGTAATAGTTCACATTTGGCTAGTGGCCTCAACTGAAGCCCTTACTGTCACTGCCAGTGGATATTTTTATTAGTCAGTTTCTGCAAGGATGATATTAATGGCAAGAGATGAGGCTGCCTTGCATCTGTGTACTTGCACAGAGGCAGCTCCATGAAGTCATGCAGATGTAAAATGGGCCTAGCCAACTGCAGCCAGTCTGGACTGCTCAAGACTTCTTTATCAATTAGGACACAACTCTTGGCTGCAGCTATAGTCCAGTTTAATGTGCTGTCAGAAGGCAACAGCAGTCCACTGTGTGGCAGGGGAAATGGTATTTTCCACAACTTAGCAGTTTTTTAAGATGCACTGCCAGAACATTTTTAACTATGATTAAACGGCTGACCAGTGATGACGTACATCATAATAATGTGGTTGGTATAAAATTATGGAGTATGTTGCAAAATTTGGTCTGATTACTGTTATCCAGTAAATACCGTAAATAATAAATGCTTCTTCTCACACACACACACACACAATATTTTAGAGTTCACCTCAAATGTCTCTGACATCAATTTAGAATGATGTAGAGATGGCAGAGCATTATTCTATGTCATATTGAACAGGATGAATAATGCAACAGACAGCATAGCCAACCACTGTATTTATACTGAGCATTTACAAGAGATAAATCCTGGATATGCAGCTGTCCCTGATAGCAAGTACATGAAATACAGATTGCACACGGTTAAGTCCCTCTAACAGTGACTCCGGGGCTCCAATTAAAACACCAAATAATGCTGTGTGAGCCGGTGGCTTATGAAATCAGCCATCTGGAAATGTCAGAGGACTCATGATGGGCTAACCAACAACCTACTAAATAAAACCAAAAAAGACATAATAATTACCACACAGCAGTTCAACAATATTTAATTTGACTGAATGAGCAGATCAAATATGAATATACCTCAAAATTTCAATTTCCTCCATTTACTCGGGGTTTGGGGTAATATGCAATGACAGGAAGCCAAAAATACCTACTGGAACTCCTGAGGACATATTCCCATGCTAAACTGGGCTGACATTAACAACGAGGCCTTACATTATTGAAAGGGACAATGACATTCGCTACTGCAGCATCACGTCACACTAGAGCAGCAGCTTGTGGCTCAGGTGTGGCTTTCTACAACCATTTCTGTGACACTTGTAAAACTGTTCAACCTTTTTCTTGGCTTAAATGAAATTGAACAATTTTTACAGCAGGGAAACTAAAGTAGATTAATAAGGCACATACGTAGTCTGGGCAACATTTTAAGACATCTTCCATGAACTTTACAAATCCTTGCCAGCTGGCCGGCGAGTGTAGGTGGCAGTAGCTATTATGATGCCACAGGTGAGCGCTATAGTGTGAACAGTGCCTTGGTCTCTTATTAAATGACCCATTTCTCATTGCATCACCATCAATCACACCCCTGTCTGTATCCTATTGCAGCAGGAGAGTGCTTCACATTTTAAGGATGTAAAAAAGTGTGACTGGGTTTAACAATAACTGCTAATGGAGAGAGGTTTAAATAACTTTAACATTAACACAATGCAGATTAATACTAACTGCACTCATCATGATGGCAGTTTATCTATTTCAGTGTCTGTCTCATATATTCCAGACCTCGGTTAAAGCCCAGGTGCTGAGCTCTGCCAGGACTCACCTTGTTTCTGCAGCAGTTCATGAATATCAGTCTTGGCCTCCAGCAGAGTCTCCGTGTCTCCATCTCTATCAGGCTCCTCACTAGCAGGGGATTGTGGCTGAGACTGGAACTGAGACTGGGTCTGGGGCTGGCTCACCGACTGGATTTGGATTTTCATTCCAGGATCAGGAGCTTCAGAGCCCAAGAAGGCTGCTGGACCATCAATACCTACAAGCAAGGTAAAAAAAAAAGTTGCTCAGTTGAAACCCAAGTTGTTAATGCTTTCATGTTTTGCTAATTACATAAAACTGATTATTTGTGTCACCATATTTATTGAAAAGCTAGACTAACTAGTTAAAGACTTATCTGGGACAGTGCTGAGTGAGAGCCTTAAAGAGATCCTGTTAGGTACCTGATATACAGTATGACTGGTGTCAGACGTTTCTAAACATCGGCCACTTACACGCATGTGTACATAACCCTTTCTCATCACACTTTGTGCAGTACAAATGGAGGAATGCTGTGGGTCTTCTGCTTTGACTTGTCATTAACTAGCCTATACAATAAGCTCCACCTCAAATAAGCACCCAAACACCTCACACTGAAGGCGAGAGCGCTCTGATCCTGACGTGCTTGCAGCATTAACTACATGTATTGTCTATGCTACAATATATACAAAATATATCCTCATTTTATACATGCCTACTTTTAATGCAATATGAAAAACTATGGGAAAATGCACACATACAGTAGTTTTACATGACGTAACAAAAATATCCTTTGAAATGATGCAACATAAAAAACAGAAGGTGACAGGTGTTTCTCTTACCATCCACAAGGGCATCGTTGACGATACAAAGTTGCGGTTCCACCAGCGGAGTCTCCTCCTCAGCACGCCGTGCCCTGTGACGCCGGGGCCGAGCCTCTGTATTGGGTTGAACCATCAGAGGTTCCTGCCGCTTCCTCCGCTGTTTCTGTTCCAGCAGCGCCCTCTGTGGACCAAACAGGCAAACAGATTTGGCATAGGACCTCATTGTACAAATGTACAGCAAGGCGCCTGACTAGAAAAACACTCCATGCTTATAAATCAGGCTTCTATCAAATGTTACAAGAGGTTAAGAGCAGTTATTCACACTGAAAAACATCACCTCTATGAGCTGAGGGTAATTACATTAGTATATATATGATGAGTTTCAAATTGCACCTGTCAGTAGGTATTTCAAACAGCCCTGATGATAACATTAAAGATGAAGTCCTTGTAAGAAACAGGTGAAAACACAATTAGTATGATTGTTATAGTACAGCCGAGGACCATGGATATTTGTTTTTAGATGTACCTTGCCATCATTTTACAAATGGAAATTTTGACTTTCATTCATTCATCCTTTGGGTGCCAAGAATGTCCATACATAGAAATTCATCAAATATTTCTTGTAATATTTTACTCTGGAACAAAATGCCCTGATGGCAGACTATCTACTGACCAACACTGTCATCTCAAGGGTCAGTTTCTCTAAACCTGGTCCTACAGTGGGAGGAAAGGTGGGCTATATCCTATATAGGCCTGTCTGGCAGCATAGTTACAGAAGAAAATAACTCAATGTATGAACATTTTACATAAGAGAAACAGCAACTTTGAAAACCCCCTTCAAGGTATAAAAAAACTAGAAACCTATTCATTTAAACAGAGTATAGTGCTAAACAGCCACAGTGCAAAGTTACAGCACAGGTAATGTGAATAGTGGACGATTCACATAGAAGTTAAATAACCTTAAAGGTGAAGCCAAAAGAGACGGGGATAAATAAACCTAACAATCATATCAAAACCCAAATACCTCTGCACGCACTGAATGGGTTCACCGACAGGCCAAAATAATGGGTGCTGTGAGAGTCTCATTTGCTGTTACTGTTGCATATTGCATTTTATAATGAGGAATGGCTAACATTCCACACCATGTGGTAAAGAATGTGAGGCACCGTGGGTGTTTTTAGGTACTTTATTATAGCGACTTTGTGACAAGGCTTCAGCAATGATAGAAAATTCATGTTCTAATTCATGTTGTTCAGGTCATGTTGTACCCCCTAAAGACCCAGTCTCTTTGGTCAAAGCAGCCGATGAATTACGCAAGAGCATTAATTAGTGCATCAAATGAACAACAAGTCCTGCTTACTGATGCTGCCCAGTGAGCTGGAAGAGACCAGGAGGCCTTGTCTCATATTTACCAGACCAAAGCGCCTTCATAACTCATTGTGCTAGAACTCATGAAATGTTTCTAAAAAAATCTTTCTTACTGCACCCTGCCTTCTGTACCACTACAGCTACACCTAATACCACTGCTATGAGTGAAAAAGTAGACTAATGCAAAATTTCTACATCACCAGCACCATAAAAACTATTTCTAAAGGGGTGCAAAGACATATTGACAAAAGATGGGAGTATATTGACCCCTGAGGGATGTGCCAACGAACATAAGTCAAAATTATTTTTAAGTAATAACAACAGAATTACCGACTATATATGTTCTTTAATGTGCAAGCTCATGATAAGTCTGGGTGCTTTATAGTCTGGACCTAGATTTGTTATCATTTCAAAAGACCCTGCTTTAAGAGGACCAGGATGTGCATGCTGGTCTTATGGCTAGAAATAAAGGTGACAAATGAATAAAAACATGGACAGAAAACAGAATTATCATAATGAGCATCATTACTGTTAATGTAATAAATGGATGTGGAAATACTGCCAGTGGTGGTGGGAGATAAACACAGAAGAACACTGATGGTGCCTGTAAAAATGGTCTGAAGCTGAGCTTCCAGTTTTTTCTTGTATGTTAGAAATTTTCTTGAATCAAAAGTTATTTTCTAGATTCACTTGGGGTGATCTGAGTTATTCTGCATTTTGCCAAGAAACTGATGAATGAATTAAGTGAAACTGAAGCAGAAATAACTGAAGATGAGACCAGTGTAAGGTTTAATGACTTCTTAAGATTGATTTTTATTGGCACCGTTAACCTACACTTTGTGCTGCCTTCCCTTTTAGGTGCTATTTTAAAACAATCTATTGTATATTCCATTTTGTTATTTTCAGACCAGGATGTGACTTCATTCAGGCTTTCACAGTCCTTCCTGTATCAGCAAAAACATGGGAAAGGTGGAGAGAATTTTAACATAGCGTACAACGATTTTTGTCTTTGCAAACAATCTGATATCAATAATATGACTTACTGTACATGAGATGAAAAAATCAGGCCATGTACAACACAAACAGAGAAGTTTAGGTAAGTTGGCTGCTGTCCATCTGCTCAGAGACTACTGAGTCTTTGTGTCTATTGTGGCTGGATTTCTCTTTCCTCTTTCATTAAGAGAGCTGGTAGGACTGAGTAAACCGCCACACACCTGTAGCACTCATATAAGCTATTTCTCTCAAGAAACTGAAAATATATTAAGGAAATATTAGAAATTACCAACCCATTCCATTGACATCCTGAAGTTTCTGTATAGAAAATAAACATTTAAGGTCCCATTTGTCCTGAGGTCAAATGAAGCTACGCTCTCCTTTAAATGGCAGCACTCCTGCTGGGCTCAGCTCTCTCTTCTCTCACCCTTCTGGAGCTGAGTATGAGTATCAGTAAATCAACAGCCTCCTCTGCACTATGAGATCCCCTGGCAGAAAAGGGTCTGTTGCTCAGTCAGAGAGGAAGCGCAAGAGTGTGTGTGTGTGTGTGTATGTTTGTGTGTATGTGCGGCCACCATTGCTAACTGAATCAGCTCTCATTAGTGCTCCAGCAGGCGAGAGCGAGAGAAACAGAGGAAAGCTGGGAGGTGCACACCAAGTGGTCACAGTCCCAGTGCTCTTGGAATTGTTGTCTGAATGGTTTTCATTTGATCTGAAATGGGTGAGAAACCACTTTTAAGTAAAAATACAGTTGAAAAGGTGGATGTAGCTTTTAGTGTTTATTGGCTGTTCATAGTTTCCATAACATGCATCTGATTCCCCTCTGGGCATAAGTGCATGTGTGTTTGTTTGTGCTCATGAGTTATGTAAAAACATAGGCTGTTTTTTGCTGCACAACTGAGTCGCTGTGGAACCATGGAAGACACACACACACACGTACAAAGACACACATAAAGCCAGGTGTCCTGTACTAAATCCCCCTGTCTCTTTGAACTCAGAAATCTGACCCTCCTGTTTCTGTTTGCCTAATGTGTGAGATAGAGGGGTTTGGCTTCCAGCTTAAATCAAAGCGCTACACTGCAGCTCCACAGCAAGCTTTGGGATAAAGCACCTTATAGAGCCTCAGGAGGAGAGGATGAAAAGAGAACAACTGTGTGACAGAAGAGGGGATATGTCTGGTAACGGGTGATAAAAGGAAACAATTTAGCTTCAGGAGTCAATAAGCATTAAAATTACAAGTGACTGGGCAAGTGAAAAACAATATTAATCACACACCGCTGCATGATGCTGAAGCTACTCTTGCCAACAGTAGGCATCCCTTGGTGAGAATAGAGCAGAACACAAAGCCATCTCTTCCATCCTTTGCTTAACAATACAACAGAAATGAGCCCTCATCCTAAAACATCATCTATGTGAGAGTTACAAAGTGTAATCTGCTTAATGCTGCAACATAACAGCTGTACCACACCAGATGTTCTTTGTAAGTCCAATGACAAAAGAGTATAGACACCAAAGTCTTAGAAAAATGATAAGAAACAAAAGACAACAAAAGTGAATTGTCAAAAAGCATGATGTTTAGTTGTGAATGAATTTTAGTTTCCTACCTGTTTTTCCAGCTTCTGCTGCATTAGACTGTTGCTGTCATCTTCGATGCCACTGCAGGGTAAGGAAGAAACATTATAAAGAGTTAGAGATTAATAAACACAGTCCTGTATATAAGCCTCTCATCTGAATATGATTTTCTAATTAACTAGCAGAGGACACCACAGCTGCTACATCAATACAAGGCAATAAAGACTTTATCCTGTATAGTCTTCTATGAAACAGACCAATTAAGACATTAAAAGGTTTTAGTCACAGTAGTGACAGTTTTAAAAGGGTAAATACACTATGTCAGACAAATTAGAAATGTCTAGTCCCTAAACTAGACTAGAACTCAAAACCAAATGACGAAAGGCCAAACTGCGACCTTTTGAGTCTGAAACACTGGAATGACCCACTCCCTGAAAATGACAGATTATAAAAGAAATACAAGTTTAAAAAATAAAGGGAACAAATTCTCCAGCTAAGAGACCATCTTGCAGTCTGGGTCCTCTGGGGATTTACCCTGGACACCTATCTGAGGGGCTGGGCCCATGTTGCATAGCTACAGTGAGGACAGAGACAGCAGGAGTCTGTATTATTAGAGTCTGAGTCATAGTATCTCTACTCCTGTCTCAATCAAACACACACACTGTTGAGTAAATCTCTAAATATCACACAGTCTTCTGGGATGAAATCAGTTGTTTACAGAGAAGGCATAAGGATATAGGATGAGAAGTCTTTGAATCACCCAGCCTATTAGATACCTGACCTGCTCATCTTCGCTCCTTATTTCTATCTTTCTTTGTCACTCATATGTCCTTCCCACAGCTCTGGTGTGTAGGTGATGACACACACCACATAAGGACTTCAGTCCCAGTGCTGACTCTTATCACAGCTCACCTCTAAAAGTCAGTCACTGAATGTCGAGCTCCAGAAACTCATACCAAGAAGCACATAAGTGTTTTAATAGGCCAGGAACAAGATAAGTCATAGTTGTGCAGGTGAACTGAAAAGCAAGACCTGAAAGAAGTGAGTGTGGGTTTATTTCTGCTGAAGAAGAATCACACTGCTTGTGTCCAACTAATGTGATTATATCCAATACAAACAGCAAGGTACAGCAAAAAACTCTGATTAAAATGTTTACGTTTTCCCACTGGGTTGTACCATTAATATTGCTGTTTCCATGCTACAATGCACAGTCTGATTAAAGGCTGAAGACACACCTGCTACATTACCGTACAACCGCAGAGTTTCCCTTATGTTTTAAGCCTGCTGTAATGGCACTATGCTACCCCTGAGGCAATGCTTGTTTAAATATTGTGATTAAACTGTGCTTCAGGACATTTTTATGGCAGCTTCAACACAGAATAGCATGTTTTCCCAGTCAAAGTTATGTCACTCTGAGAAACTATAACAAGCATTATTCATTGTTGTCTGACATTTTCTAGACCATTATTAATCAAGCAAATATTCAGCATATAAATCAATAGTGAAAGTTCATAGCAGCTGTAATGTACACACTGGTGAAACCAGCAGGCCACATACACATACACCAAAGCTGCTGCTCATTCTCTAAATCTATGATACTCCTTAATTCAAATTCTGCAGCAGGAGTTTAATCCACCAATGTCCATGTAATTCAGCTGACAAATGTGAAAGAAAATGGTTTGTGCATGAGAATGTGTTTGTGGGGTGTGACTATCTACCTTGGTGTTGAGTTGGAGGAGAAGCTGGCAGAGCTGGAGGGTCTTCAAGGAAAATGGCAATTTGGCACCAAGGCAGGCAGAAGCATGAGGCAGGTGAAAAAAAAAACAATGAAAGAGGTTTAGCAAAAGATCAGAAATTACCAAGAACCTAAGGGATATGAATAATACTCCATATCCTATATGGTTTGACTGATTCATTTGTAGCTTGAATATAACAAGAAATCTACTGCAATCTGTCTACTAGCAGAGACTGTACTTTTAGTGACTCATCTAATAAAGTCAAACAAACTGATAATGAAGTCAGAGGGCAACTGTAGAGCAGGTGCAATGTAAAGTAAAGACAGCATCCTACAGAGTATTATCATTTTGACTTCAGTCTACTGGGGGTCAAGAGAACACCCTCAAGCACGCTTGGAAAACGTGCGTATATGCACACACACACTTACAGGGCGCCTCATCACAGCTGTGAGTGATCAATGTTTCATTAGTCCCTCACAGCTTGGGTGACAAGACAAGAAAATGCCACTGTTGTCCCTCTCTTGTGTGTCAGACTAAGGTAACCATGGAGATTTGAGCTCTGTCAGTAGTGCACTTACACCAGCACTGATTAAAAACCTGCAGCCAGTTCTTGAGTGTCACTGGAACTGCACGACGTAGCACTGTGCTGTAAAGATTTGCAGAATCGCAGAGGAAAGGGTCTGCCAAGGCATGTTGGAGCTGCACATCAAAATCAAAATATTTATTCAGACCCCTAATATGATTCAGGGTGCAAAAGAGGCCTATTTGATTCTTTTCTTCTGAGAATATCAAAGCTATTAAAAATGGAATTAAGCAGAGTGATCATATTATCAGTATGCGGTCCATTTTGTCTGTTGTTCATTTTAATTAAAAGTCTTGCACTCTGCCTCTTCCAAAAGGAATTTAAAAGTTGAATGTGCATACCTTAATTTCTGCCACAGGCAATTCAGCTTCTAACTTAGTGAAGATAAAGAATTAAATGAGGACCGGTAAGATTAAATGCTTAATTCCCTGAGGCTCACAGGATGGTTAGAATGAGACAAATTATACCAAAATAAAGCCATGAAAAAGGCAATAGCATGATATCTGCCACTGAGGACAGGCAGTCTCTTTTTCACCTAAATATTTGTCTAAAACTGATCATCTCTATATTAAATTAAGAGCATGTCCACACTGAGGAAGCCGACTCATTTACAGTGCCTTGCGAAAGTATTCGGCCCCCTTGAACTTTGCGACCTTTTGCCACATTTCAGGCTTCAAACATAAAGATATAAAACTGTAATTTTTTGTGAAGAATCAACAACAAGTGGGACACAATCATGAAGTGGAACGAAATTTATTGGATATTTCAAACGTTTTTAACAAATAAAAAACTGAAAAATTGGGCATGCAAAATTATTCAGCCCCCTTAAGTTAATACTTTGTAGCGCCACCTTTTGCTGCGATTACAGCTGTAAGTCACTTGGGGTATGTCTCTATCAGTTTTGCACATCAAGAGACTGAAATTTTTGCCCATTCCGCCTTGCAAAACAGCTCGAGCTCAGTGAGGTTGGATAGAGAGCGTTTGTGAACAGCAGTTTTCAGTTCTTTCCACAGATTCTCGATTGGATTCAGGTCTGGACTTTGACTTGGCCATTCTAACACCTGGATATGTTTATTTGTGAACCATTCCATTGTAGATTTTGCTTTATGTTTTGGATCATTGTCTTGTTGGAAGACAAATCTCCGTCCCAGTCTCAGGTCTTTTGCAGACTCCATCAGGTTTCCTTCCAGAATGGTCCTGTATTTGGCTCCATCCATCTTCCCATCAATTTGAACCATCTTCCCTGTCCCTGCTGAAGAAAAGCAGGCCCAAACCATGATGCTGCCACCACCATGTTTGACAGTGGGGATAGTGTGTTCAGGGTGATGAGCTGTGTTGCTTTTACGCCAAACATAACATTTTGCATTGTTGCCAAAAAGTTCGATTTTGGTTTCATCTGACCAGAGCACCTTCTTCCACATGTTTGGTGTGTCTCCCAGGTGGCTTGTGGCAAACTTTAAACGACACTTTTTATGGATATCTTTAAGAAATGGCTTTCTTCTTGCCACTCTTCCATAAAGGCCAGATTTGTGCAGTATACGACTGACTGTTGTCCTATGGACAGAGTCTCCCACCTCAGCTGTAGATCTCTGCAGTTCATCCAGAGTGATCATGGGCCTCTTGGCTGCATCTCTGATCAGTCTTCTCCTTGTATGAGCTGAAAGTTTAGAGGGACAGCCAGGTCTTGGTAGATTTGCAGGGGTCTGATACTCCTTCCATTTCAATATTATCGCTTGCACAGTGCTCCTTGGGATGTTTAAAGCTTGGGAAATCTTTTTGTATCCAAATCCGGCTTTAAACTTCTCCACAACAGTATCTCAGACCTGCCTGGTGTGTTCCTTGTTCTTCATGATGCTCTCTGCGCTTTAAACGGACCTCTGAGACTGGACAGGGAAGATGGTTCAAATTGATGGGAAGATGGATGGAGCCAAATACAGGACCATTCTGGAAGGAAACCTGATGGAGTCTGCAAAAGACCTGAGACTGGGACGGAGATTTGTCTTCCAACAAGACAATGATCCAAAACATAAAGCAAAATCTACAATGGAATGGTTCACAAATAAACATATCCAGGTGTTAGAATGGCCAAGTCAAAGTCCAGACCTGAATCCAATCGTGAATCTGTGGAAAGAACTGAAAACTGCTGTTCACAAACGCTCTCTATCCAACCTCACTGAGCTCGAGCTGTTTTGCAAGGCGGAATGGGCAAAAATTTCAGTCTCTTGATGTGCAAAACTGATAGAGACATACCCCAAGTGACTTACAGCTGTAATCGCAGCAAAAGGTGGCGCTACAAAGTATTAACTTAAGGGGGCTGAATAATTTTGCACGGCCAATTTTTCAGTTTTTTATTTGTTAAAAACGTTTGAAATATCCAATAAATTTCGTTCCACTTCATGATTGTGTCCCACTTGTTGTTGATTCTTCACAAAAAATTACAGTTTTATATCTTTATGTTTGAAGCCTGAAATGTGGCAAAAGGTCGCAAAGTTCAAGGGGGCCGAATACTTTCGCAAGGCACTGTATTTGCAGCTGAACAAAGGACAGAAACTTTATCCATCTGTCCAGTACCTCTGAGCAGCACGGGTTATCAGGTGCAGTCACGGAGCACAGGTTTTGATATATACTCATTTTTATATTTCAGTTTGTGTAGAGGTTGTTCAAACAAGAGTGAACATCCCTAATACATTTAGCAGCTGTTGTGTTAGGCTAGGCTAACTCCTGACCACACTTAACACCTAGATAAAAGTAATGTGGAATCAGCTGATCAAAAAAAAATTTACTGCAGATGTGAATGAAATCTAGACATCCCCAAGCCTTAACCAAGAAAATCCTAAGAAGACACATTCAAACACACGCAGTCAAGAGTCATTAAAGTTGTTATTTGGGTGGCTATTGTAAGGACATACTTAGTTACACAAGAGTTCCAATCAAGCAGCCAACAGCACACACAAAATAAGACCTGCTTGGAGAGACAAACTTGCAAATCACCAACTCTGGTTACAGCACACACGCTCACAGTCTGATGGTCTGAATAAGTAAAGGCATGGTGGCAGAAACATGAGCAAGAGGCACATCTTTGATGGCAGGTCAGCTTTTCAGCTAGCCAGAAGAACAGAGCAGTGACTGGCAGAAACTTTATAGTAGTGCTAACCTCCATCCTGGCATAGGCCACTCTGCAATTCTCAAACATAAAAAACCACCACAAGTTGGAGAACTAAAACAAAAATGCCCTAGTCTGTCTGTGTATGTATCGATACAGGTGCCTACTTGAACAAACAAATGTTAAGTCTTGATGAGTAAATAAAGGAATGGCTGTCTCAAGCAGCATCCTCTAGTACTAGGATTAACATGCTGTACATTATGTGTGTGCAACTACCTGTATGACCAGCGACTGTAGACAGGCTGAGATCCCCCATTCTTTACAGTGTCCATGGATGCAGCTGCAGGAATGTTAGTCCAGGGCCCTCCTATCTACACTATCACAAAAATCTTCATTTACACAGGGGCTCAGAGGTTCTATCCAACCGTAAGCCCTGCAGGCTGTAAGATCTCTGCTATTATGACACGGAGAAAGAGTAGCTATGTTCCACCCAGGGGAGTGACAGCTACCAGTGCTATAGCAGACTGAGGTCAGGAGGCTTGGAGCTGTTACCATGACTTCACTCTTCAGGCAGCGCACAGGGGTTCAGCTAGGGATAGGTAAGAATGTGACAGGTAACAATATGCAAAGATCTACCTTAACAGATCAATGTTTGATTGCTAAAGGCACTTAGTTACAAAGTTACTTAAACAGGACTAACATGATGAATGAAAAGGTGAGCTGTTAGAGGCTGTTTCAGTTTGATATAAAGTCATTCTATTGCAGTGGAAGGAAATGCTTCTAAAAATATCAGTTAGACTACTTGCTGTCATCAATGTTCATATGTGTTTTACTCCCTGAATTCTTTCCAGTAACCTTCTGAGAGACTTAGCAGTCAGATGCAGCCCATTTCCTCTGACTCATAGGGCGCACTGGCTACATCAAACCACACATGCACATTCTGTCCAGCACCTCAGTTTTATGCAATAGTGGGAATTTAGTGTACTTTAAAATAGGCCAGGGTTCTTCTAAAAAATTCTTTTTACAAATAGACATGGTGTGTTGCTAGGAGGCCAGGGCCTCCTAATCGTTTTTCTGTGCCTATTTTCAAAACTGACAGAAGGAAAGCGTAAAGAAAATTAAGAGTTTGTTTGTGTATGTTTGCCCTGAGAGACAGGGGCAAAGTGGCATATAAGCCAACTGATGATAAGCACGGGAATCATTCACCAGAGGGAGTAATTATTGAGCTCACAACAAATGATGGAAATAAGCTAAGAGTTGATAATAATAGCCTACCACTTCCCTTGGGGACCCCAGTGGACACACTCCACTTGTGACTCTCCTACAGTGATGCTTTACTTATTTTAGGCAGCTTTAAAGAAATGTAAGCTGCTGATCATTTCATAGACAGCAGCTTAGTTTGAATCCTTATATGACAAAAGCAGCCACTTGACAGTGATCACAGCAAACATAACATCTAAGAGTAAACATCATGCTGCAACACTCATTCATCATGCGCACAGCTGAAAATAAAGCTTCTAATTTATATATTGATATGCCTTCAACAACATTCATCGACATTACACATACGAATATGTTTTTTCAGTCTCTCAGTGCATGAGAAACATAATGGATTACTCAGGCAAGATGGGCCATATGTGTTTGGAATCCAATGGACAACCACAGCAAATCATAACTTAACCAAAAGCAATGCTTGTAGCTGCAGAGGTCAACCAACATCCTTGTGGAGAATTTTTTTTAATGGATTGATTCATAACGATGGTGTTACAAAGTTCAAAATTAGATAATTTTCTGATTTCAATATCATATAAATCCCTTCTGGGGGCAATATAAATTATACAGTTAGCAGGCTCAGCCAAAACCTGGTCAATCGACTGTGTTTCAACTGTGCAGATACATTCAGTAAAACTCTGATAAATATGTTAGTTTCAAATATCATGTTCAGTTGTCAGCAATAAAAACTTAGAAAATGGTTAGAAATTACATTTCCAGGTGAAAATTGTAGGCCAACACTGGAGTTCTGTACATTATATTTCAGATTAAGTACATATGTCCCATTTCTCATTTCGGTTATGTGTGACACTCTACCCAGGAGCCATGGCAATGTTACATTGCAACAAAGGCCAAGAAAATTTCATCAGCCTCCCACTTACAACACTACACTGTAAGAAGTCTTTACAACATGACAGTTGCGATGCTGTTATGAAAACTGTCTTTGCTGCTTCACTCTGCTAATTGCCAAGCAAGTCAGCAGAAGCCAATTAGAAAGAAAGGGAGTAAATATTAAAGAGGCTCTTGTGGTTTGGAAAACATCTGCTGTGACACACTGCTAAATTGATTATTAACAATAATACTAATAGTAATTAGTTAGAATAGTTAAGAATTAGAATAGTAACATTTGTGAGACATGAATAAAAAGGGAACACAGGATAGAGAAAACAGAAATTCCCTATTCAACCATTGCTCAAAGTTGAGCATTACAAATCATGATTCAACCATCAGTGAACTTGAACACAGACTGCTTCAGCCTACTGAGCAGTGCACATCACTGGGGGGGGGGCGATGGGATATAAACAGGATGGCAACTCGACCAAGTCATTTTCTATCAACATCACAGTAACTGTACTAAACATTATTTTGCATTGTGTCCGTGGTGAATAACATCCCCTGTCTACATTCAAATGCACAGAGACTCTACATGGAAAGGGTGGAAGCTACTGTGATTATATGTCCCTGCAAAATGAAAGGAGAGCTCTGCTCCCCTGTGTGAAACTGTGTATTGTACCCTCCATCATGCACACACATGAAACATCTGTTTACATGACCAGCAGAGTGGACATGGTGCAGCATGCTGAGGTGAATTCTCTGTATTAAGTCTGGTTATCAAGCTTTTCCTACACGTTTTCCCCCTATTAATTTCAAATGAAGAATACATGTCGAAATAAACAAATACATAAAATTTTAATTTAAAAAAATATCCACGTGTTTATTTGGGTGGTGGACACGCATATTGGCACTACAGAAATGCTTTGGCACATAATAGACAGGCTACAAAAAGGTGCTCAGACACAATAAACATTTGCTTCTCATGCACTGTATTTAAAGCTCAGCCTCGTCAGAGCTTTGTCTGAGTGCTTGACTGTGGACACGACCATGTGTGATGCAGATCATTTGATACGTTGTGACTAGGCACAGTGTTGGATTCCGTCTACACATCCTGCATACACACTTAGGAAGGTGGGGTGTACTTGTTTTACCTAAACTGTATCGAATGAAGCAACTGAGAAAACCGCTCGTCGAAATACAAAATGCCTTTATTTGTTAACAAGACTCTCTGGCCATCACGCAGAAATGTGACTAAACACATACATGCAGCGTTTTAGTGTTCGATTGGCTGGCTTCGCACACTACATTGAAATCCATTGTGTTTTTAAATCGTTGCTCTTTTCGAACAAGATAGATGCTACATTTTTTATCAGCGAGAAAAGCTAAACACTGTTTAAGAATGTTAGCCAGTTGTGTTTAATGTTGGAAGAAATTTTTGAAGCGATTTTTTTGCTACACTTGGCGTTCAAGTAGTACCATTTATCGCAAAAATAATACAATTAGACACAATAACTGTCATGCGTGTTTATCTGCCAGCTGTGGTATGTTATAGCTAGCTTATTACCGTTACAAGCTAACATTAGCCGCTTCAGCTCTGCCTCTACTATATGCAGTGCTGCCTTTATAAAAGTTGTGGGCGACCATTAAGTTTTCCCGTGAGGGAAAGCCACACCGGCCAGCTTCTCATTTATTCCACAGTTCGCCAAAGACAACAGATGCGAATACAGTGTGCAATAACTGTGTGTTATTTTACCTTATGCTGTAGTAACTCATATTTATCCACGGTTGCTAAGGAAGGTCCTCGTGCGGCAGTACACTTTTGTGGAAAACTATAATACTCGGTCCTTAGTTACCGAACAAGCCAAGAACGCGTGTTCCTATTGGTGCACAGATTACTTAGGCGGAATTTCATTGGCGGATACTCCAGAGAAAGGAGGAGGGTCGCCTTCTGTGGAAAGCTTTAATTCCCCCCCCCCTTAAATGCTCTACATCTTCGATTCAGTAGTGTCTCACATGCATGAAAAGCAAACCTACTGTCACAGAAAATCTACATACAAAATGTGTGGTTAACTACACTGACCAGTAAACATGACAAGAAACACTCCAAGAAACTTGGTGAACCCATCAAACATGAACAATTGCTTGTGTCTCCTTGCTGTCTGAGAATGGTCACAAAATATTTCTAAAAGCATTTAAAAATGTTATCTTAAAATAATCTAAGCAGTGTATATTTTGCTTCACATTACGGTGTAGCTTGTTCACAATCACCAAAAGCAGCAGCAAATGATCTTTCAGTGGCAATATTGGTTTTATTACACTAGTGACTCAAAACGACATCTCCCTGACTAAATTATGTAGGATTTGCTCAATTTTGGAAATCTTATATTTGCCACAGCCCATTTACACCACTACCTTCTCCATAAATCTTTCATTTTAACTTGGATGCAGAAAAATAAAATGAAAATATAAAAAAACTTGCAGTGTGTTGCTAGAGGTCAGGAGTAGGTTTAAATTTAAGGACTGCCTGTGATTTGCAATGTAATTTGTAACAACACAGTACAACTAGAATCTGAATAAATATGCTGTCACATAAAAACACTTGCTATTTAGATATTGGAGTAATTAAAATGATATTTTGATTTATTATTTAATGTGATTTGATTCTTACAATCTTAACTTCCAAGGCAATGCAGATAGGATGGGTGAGAGAGATATTTCATAGTATCCTTGGCTTATCATTATGAGGTTCAATGAAACTAAAAAGAAGTAAACAGTCAGTGAACTGAAATATGATCATGGCTTTGGAGTGGAGTCCAGTGTGGTAAAAATGGCCCATATAACGAATTATATCACAGAAATTGTACAATGAATAATAACTGGGTTTTTTTCTCTATTGATATCATTATCAGCCTAGTCCTCTTCTTGCTGACTCCAAGTCAACTGTGAATTAGCACATCTGAATCAGAGAGATGGCCCCTCTCTTGTAACAGCAACATCAGACCCCTCCTCTTCCTCCATGTCACCTTCATTCCATAATCCCTCTCTGGTGTGTCAGCCACCAAAATGTCAGCTGGCTGATTACATGGTGGTGTACATGGTGGAGCCAGCAGCAAATGTACAGAAAGAAGAGAGGGACTACTACATCCTTCTTGTATTACTTTTGGAGTGTCCACATCAGGTGGTGGATTGACACTGCTGACAGTAGTGGTGCTGAAACCACTGGAGGCAGGAGTTGAAGTACAATCTGCTGGTCCTCTGCATTTCTCTGTCACTTCAATAGATGGTTCAAGTGGATCCAAACATTTTCTGGAGGATGCAGCGCCTTCAGATAACTTCTCCTTATTCGTTTTTCTGACCGAGGCCAGCTGTCTCTTTGGTGTGTTTAAGTACAGTGATTTTGAAACTTTCTTTTTGATCTGGCATGATCCCTGTGGTTGATTTGTTGTGTCAGACACAGTAGATTCTGTAGCTTTCTTTGTGCATGCAGTCTTTGGCTGGTGACACTGGTCTCTTGACCATGTCTTAAATGATAATGGGGGGAATTTGCAGACACCGTTTTTCCTGGGTAGCTCATTGCACTTATCAAGAATTCTTGTGGCAGAATGGCATTTTCTCCTCCCTCGCCTCAATGGAGGTGCAGCTGCAACTGAACTGTTAAACTGTGGGCTTACCTAAAAGAGTAAAAATAAAGTAAACACGCAGTGGAATAAAATTTGAGTGATAAGACAATTATTATTTTGTGAAGTAACTGTACAGGAACGTCAGCATTAGCTTCCAAATAGGTCAGATGATATATGATCAAGGGCACTTCAGCTGTGGGTTTAGTTGCTGAATGGCACTGTTTTGAACCACACAGCCATGGCCCACCTCAAAACGCGTTAAAATGAGCAGACAACTTACCCAAGACTTAAATGCTGAGTTGTTATGTGCTTGCGCTTCTGTGAAAAATTCCTTGGGATTGAGTGCTGCTCGGACTTCAGGCACATTTTGGAATCTGGCTCCACTCAAAGACTGCTCCTGGAATAGCAGGGGAGGCTTCTCTGTCTTTATGGTTTTACGAGGCATTTAATAGAAATCATCCCTGAACACCTGGTGGAATAAAACATGGTTTAATCGAAAAAAAATGTTAGTTTCAAATATCAGCTTTCCACAGTTTCCAGATCCACACTAACGTCACTGTTTACATCCACAGCCAGCCGTATACTGTCGAACATTACGTTTTCATTCGTAGCTACAAGTCCGATATTAGGCTTACCTTAATGTAGTTCTTTGCGTAAAACATTGTCAGAATTTCATATAAATAATACATAATTAAAATGATAACTATATCATTGTGGTTGAGTATTCTAATCAAACCATGGTCTACTTATTGCTTACTTCCCGGTTTCCACCATTCCCATCTCTGGTTGGTTCTTCTTCTTCTGAAGTTTATTGGTGGTTGCAAACAGCGAATTGAAACATTTCTGCAACCAATTGGTCATGAGCGATGTAGACTCTGATTGGTTGTTTCCATCGTGGTCTTTTGTCTAGTTACTATTGGTGCAATTTTATATCATGTGATCAACGTGACAGGGGCAGCACCACCAGCGCCAAAATTCAAAAACGTTTCTGAATCGATAGGACAGCATGGAAATATCATTAGATGAAAGAATATTACTGGTGTACAGAAGTCTTTGATTAAATAGCGAGCATGGTTAAACTGTTTCAGCTACTAGCAGGAGTCCAGTCGAGCGGGAAATGCCAAAATATTGCAATAATATGAAGGTTTGGCTTTGTTTAGATTTACTGTTCGCTACAACAGTGTAACGTTAGTTGGTGATGACTACCCACCTAGCTAACTTAGCTTAGCTTCCAACCCCAGTTAGTAGAGTTACAGTTAGCAAACAGAAAGTCGTAACGTTCACCTATCTTATACGTTTGCTTGGTTTAATAGCTAATCGTCAGATTATTCGGGTCTAATGAGACTAAACTGTTTGCCATGTTCCTCCACATAATTATAAATTTATTATCATTGCATGATGAATGTCATTCTTGTGTGTCAAAGAGACGTCACGCTAGACTTAATACAATATAACATTTTAATGATTTAATCACTTTTTCTTCACTTGTATATCTGTGTTAAAATAATTTGAGACATTTAATGAAAATTACAAACAAGTCTCTAATTCGGCATACCTCACATACACATAAAATGGCAGAACATCAGCCCATTTTGATACCACTGGCTATAGCTAGCGCGGGTTAGAAAGCAATGTGAATCAGCTGTAAGTTACATTTTGAGATGTGGATGGTGCAGTGGACTGTGGGGCCAAAGTTTCCCCAATATCCTAATAGTTTAATTAGATCTGGAAAATCGTGGGTTAACGTTAACTTACAGAAAACACGCCATCAGCTGCAGATATGTAACGACTGTTGTTCTAGAAGTCTTAAGGGAGTAACGTTATCACCAACTGATTTCTGGAAGTAGGTTGCTTAGTTATGCTAACAGTTGCACCGCCGAAAAACAAACCCGAATATCGTGGAGTTGAATTTTTATCTTGAGGTAACGTTACATTTCACAATTCAGCCAGTCTCTGTGTGAATTACAGCATCTTTATGGTTAATATTTGGTATGAATTGATTTCTTCGTGTCCGTCTAAATTAGTCAGCGTAAGGAGGAACAGTTTGGCTAGCTAGTAACTTGGCATCGACTTTGTTCCTTCTGCCAGGTAAACAATCTACCGGCAGTTTCACTTAGCACGATTTGTTGGTATAACTACGCAAAGACAGTGACAAAAACCGGCTATTTCCAGTGTTTAGCTGGCTTTGGAACAACCTTTAGTTTTAAGTGTCAATTATTTATATTTTATGTGTTATTTTTGTACAGTATACCTGTAAACACCAAGGGGCGTTTCAGTGATTTGATGACCATGAGACGGAGCCCAAGGAGACCCCTGATTCTCAAAAGACGAAAGCTGCCTTTTCAGCAAAATGATCCATCAGCAGCTGAATCACCAAACCCTTCTGATACATCAGGCTTCAAAGACCCTTCGAAATCAGTTGCCAGTCAGTGTTTCCCTGATGGAATCCGCATTATGGATCACCCTTCCATGTCTGATACTCAGGTGGTTGTCATTCCCAGCACAGCAGACCTTCAAAATGTCATTGGGGCCCTCACCGCCAAAGGTAAAGAGTGTGGTGTCCAGGGACCCAACAAGTTTATCCTTCTGAGTGAGAACAGCAACTGTGGCAGTAGGTCTGTTTGTCAGCCTGCTACCCAAGGGGATGATGCCTCTGCAATAAGTACAGTTGGACAACCGGAAACAGTGCACAACTCCCCGGATAGTAAACCTCCCACTGGAATTAAACCATGTATGGAAAATGTTTTTTCTTTTTAATGTGATATTTCAAGTAAAATGTGGATTTTTTTTCATTTTTTTAAACTAATTATTATTTTTGTTTGCTTTTTAATTAGTCAATAAGGGACTGGAATGTGGCCCTTTAGATGACAGCCTTACCAATATTCAGTGGCTTGGAAGAATGAACACATGTGGCCTTGAACCAGATCCTACCAAACAGATGACCAACAAGGAGAACCAAAACACCTCTTCACAGGCTTTCCAGGTCAGCTGCTCCTTGTCATCTAACTGATTGTAACTGTTGATTCTTGTTCTGAGGGAACACTGAACTCAGGCATGTCACCTAAACAGCATCCTATCTCACTGCAGTGTCACCACAGTGTGATTCACAAAGACTTCAGTAGTATTCAGATGGCAGAAACTGGTTGTGTTGCTAGCTTTGAAATGAATTAATGACCACATGTTTAAATTAAAAGCTTTGACTGACTTTAGTTTGAGAGGAGCTGCAGACACTCTGTAGGTGTTTTCATATATGTATCAGTTAATAAAGTAGTGGTGTATCTCAAAGGTAAGAAGAGTAACATCATCAAAAGTCACTTGGTTACTAGTCACTTGGATATTCGGGTTTGTTTTTCAGTGGTGCAACTGTTAGCATAACTAAGCAACCTACTTCCAGAAATCAGTTGGTGATAACGTTACTCCCTTAAGACTTCTAGAACAATAGTCGTTACATATCTGTAGCTGATGGCGTGTTTTCTGTAAGTTAACGTTAACCCACGAGGTTACCGCTGGTTACTAATTACTTTAGTAACCAGCAGTACACTGCTGGAATTAGATTGGCAATAAAATTGGTAAAAAGGATGACAGCAGAGAGAATATCCATGCATTTTTTTTAAATCTGTGCAAAGAGCAAAATTAATGTAATAGCCCAAACAGTTTTTTTTATTTTCATCACCATAATGCTAAGGTCATTGTAACAAACACTATCAGTCAGACAGGTTTTTGACATGGATTGCACATCTATAAGTTTGACTGAAGTCATGCTTCCATTGAGACTCAGTTAAAAAAAAACAAAAAAAAAACAGTAAACTGGTCATACCCATCTAAAATGATCTATGCCTGCACCATATGACACTCTCTGTGCCTGTGTCGTTTTCCTGTTTTTTTGTTGTTGTGGTTTTTTTGTACAGGCACACAGTGCACAAATCCATGCTTCAGCTGTTCAGCAACACATGTCCAAGCGGCCACCGTACTCCTACATGGCTATGATCCAGTTTGCTATCAACAGCAGGCCGAATAGGAGGATGACACTCAGAGAAATTTACATGTGGATTGAGGAGCACTTCCCTTACTTCAGAGAGGTGGCCAAACCAGGATGGAAGGTACTTTGGAAGTGAAAAATAATTGTATTTGTGGGTGCACGTACTATGTCAGGTAACAGATTAAAATTGTTGTCACGTACTGAAACATGCTCATGTATGACTGCAGAATTCCATCCGCCATAACCTTTCTCTGCATGACATGTTCATTCGGGAGACATCACCAGATGGTAAAGTTTCTTTCTGGACCATCCGGCCTGAGGCTAATAGATGCCTCACTCTTGATCAGGTGTACAAGGTGAGCACAGCTGCTTTTTTTATCATTCTCAAAGTCTTCACATCCTTCTATCTCTATAAAGAAAAAGCTGTAATCATTTGCTCTGCTTGTTTATCATCATGGTGGCGGGCCTTTTTCAGCACAGGAAAGACAGTTTATAATCACTGAGGTGACCATGTTCTTTAACAATTTTCATGTCCTTTTCTATGATTTCCAGCTTATCTGCCAAGTTTTGCATACCCTTTGTCATACAGTATACTGTGCTTTTGAATTGATTTTGTTATATAGTCCTGATGGTTTTCTATCCTCTCATTTCACATCCCTCTCTACAGCCTGGTTGCGACCCCATGACTACTCCTGTTCCAGTGCCAAAGCTTTTATGTCCCCATGAAGTAAGATGAACTTACTTTTCTCCCTGTTCTCTAGGAAAAGTCTTCACCTTTAGTCGAGCAGCAGACAGCAGAAAAGGGACAGAAAAAAAATCAGGAGATTCACAGTTTCATTGCCTGTTTGTCACCAGACTCTTGGGCCTCTTTGTTGCAGGAGCAGATAATATGAGCAGCAGGGAAGCAGAGAGGCTGAAGTCACACTTAGACTAGTGTGCTTTTTGTCTTCCATAAGAGGTCTAACTTTGACTTTCCTCTGTTCTAGTTTTCCATACCATAAACAATGTAGAGAACACAGGTTGTCATTAAAATGTAGTCAGGAATGAGAGAGCACTTTAAGACTGTTAAGGCAGTATACTGTGATGTCACCTACTCTTACTTTCAACAGCCTCAAAGGAGGATGCTTCCTGATGCAAGAAAAACACCAACTTGCTCTGGTGAGTTAACACATTTTGGGAGAGTTAATGGGAAGCTGGAGAAAGGCAGTTTGAAGTTGGCAAATGTCAGTAATTGTTTTTTAGTTTGAAGACTTAAGATACCCTGCTGAGTTGGTGTTGTCTGTTTTATGTTCAGAGAGAAAGATGAAACCTCTTCTCCCTCGAACCGATTCCTACTTGGTCCCTTTTCAGCTCCCTGTCACCTCCTCTGTCTGCCTGCCGTCCTCATCGGCCCTGTTTACTCCGTCTTGCTCACAGCAGAAGCACAACACTTCACGAGGAGTCAAGAGAGTCCGGATAGCTCCTAAGGTAAAGGCCTGGTCATGCACTGCAGAATTATGACCAAATCCAAACACACACTCTTGATGATCCTGATGGTTGGAATTGGTATATTTGAAAAGCTAGATTTCCAATGTATATTTTGATCTGTGTTTGAATGACCCAGTCACAGGTAGAACTGTAAAGTGCATGGTTGTATGTCTGGCAGGTGACACAGAGCAATACCCCAGCTGTGGTATTATATCCTCAGAAGAGCAATGACCATAAGGTGGAGGTGAAGGAGGAGTCATTATGTGTTCCAATTAAATGTGAGACTCCTAAAGCCCTTCCAAAGAGACAAGCCAGCAGCTCTCGACGCAAACAACAGCTGGTTCACTCTCTACATGAGGAACCTGTTCTCCTCTGTCCTGACAATACTTACTTTGACTCTGGCATAGCCTCCCACATGTCATCTTTCCATGACCTGCAAGATACAGAGCCAGATGGGCACCAGCACAAGCAGCACAGCCCCAACCAGGATTTCTCCTTCAAGACCCCCATAAAAAGTAGCAGCCACCTGACCTCCTCCACACCCAGCAAACCCCCATCTCATGTTTTACGTGAGCCCTGGAAGGTGACCCCTGTGAGCAAAGGCAGCCAAAATGTTTTGGACTTCAGCCCAATTCGCACACCAGGTGGTCCCGCAATCACGCTGCAGCATGACTACACCACCTTCAGCAGTACTTCCTTCAATGACTGGCCTCTCTTTAGTTCCCCCAGAGAGCTTCTCACATTTGCTCCCTCCAGAGTGGCCAGACCAGTGGGGTCTCCCATTGAATGTGTCCGAAGCAGCTGCTCCAGAGAGCTACTTCAGGCGGGAGGTGCTACACCCACTAACCGCTCAATCACAGAGGGCCTGGTCCTGGATACCATGAACGACAGCCTGAGCAAGATACTCCTGGACATTAGCTTCCCTGGCCTGGATGATGAGGACCTAGGTATGGCTAACATCAGCTGGTCTGAGTTGGTCCCTCAGTTTCAGTAGCCTGAGGGCCAAAACACATTTACAGGGTGGTGTCATATGTTTTTAAAACACTATAGGTGGGAAAGCCCACACAGTGGCAGCAAAGCAGATGCAAATGCAGGAAAAATGATCAGTCTCTGAAGGGAAAAAAAGTGTGGAAACTGTCTGATTTAGAGGAAGTCTAAAATTATAATAACTGGCCTAAAAGCAACATTATGTTGTTTCAAAAAGAGACCTTTCCATACAAATGGAGATATGTTATTTAGTTAGATAAGCCAGCACCAGCTGGTTCAGTCAGCCTACTGGACTTGTAGACTTGTAGCTTGCAATGCAGGATTGTTAGCAATAAACAATGGCAAAGTAATACAAATAGCACTAACAGCAATAGGGTTGTCTCTGTATGTTAATACAGTGTCTACAATACAGGGGATAATTTGTTTTTGTTAGATAGGGGTTAGGTCAAACCCATAATGTATCAGTGGATACTATGACTGTGTAAATTCCATTTAATTTCATCACATCAGTAGTATTCATATTGCTATTTTTTTTCTGCATTAAAACACTAAGAGCGAAACAATGTAACAACCATCACTTCTGCTGCCTTTAATATTACGTGTGTAACCTTCCACTCCCTTTCTGTAGTTGTTCATTTGAACCTTTTTATATGTTCAAGTGCTAAAAGTCTGATTCTGCTCTGTTTTGCATCTGCTTTTGTTTTCTTTAGTTTTTGACTGCCATTTGGAATTAAGTCAGATTTTTGAGTGAGTGATGGGGGGCACTTTAATTTTAGTTACCAGGTCAAAGGTTGCATGATGCTCATTTGTTTTTCTCCACCTCTGGCTTTTGTTTTTTCATTGGTCACATCACTCAACAGCTTCAGCTTTACTGTTATTTCTTTCTTAAAATTTTTCCACATGGCCCTGGTTTCTTTGATCCTTTATGCTAATTGTCATGTCTGTCTGTACTCTTGAAAGAATTGCTAGAGAAGAGACCTATGTCTGAGTGTATATGATATTGATTTGCACATTTTAATATATAATTAGCTTTTACATATGTAAATGGAATAAATTATTTTGCCAAATAAGCCAGTGACATTTGGTTCAGTCATCCTACTGGAATTTACTTATTAGCAATAAACAATGGCAAAGTAATGCAAATAGCACTAAGAGCAACAGGGTTGTCTCTGTATGGTAACTGTAGAACTGTCTTATACTGTCTATACAGCACAGAGGAATTTCAGGCTATGCTACGCAAGTTAAATAAAAGGAAAGATGCCACACTGCCCGGCCATGTTATTAGATGCATGTGTACAATTGTATGCAATTCAGTGCAACACGTCCGCCTTAGCATCTGTGTTTATGAAGCTCATAATGTTTCTGTTTTTGGTGAAATTGTCATAAATGTATAAATTCAATTCTATGTTTATTATTGAGGTCATAGTTGCAGATGGTGTTGTACTGGACCACATATTCACAGGTGTCTCTGTTTTTGTCCTCCCCAGTTACATACATGAGAGGGTCAGAATATTAGGAACACCTTACACGAGATCTCAAATCATGAGCAGTAATTTAAGTGTGCAGATTACTTAATATACATATAAATTATTAGCTGATAACATGTTTCCTTTATTCCTAGTGCATCATATTTCATATTCTTTGCAAGTATCTTTTATTCTTTGAATCATAGCCTGAAATGTTTTTAAAATGTCAAAATTCTAGGTCAGAAATTACGAGCAGCTGTAATTCTAGGTGTATCTGTATTCTATAGAACAATATGAATTATGGATGGAAAAAATTGTGACCAGAAGTTCAGATGCAATTGCAAAACAATATACATCAGTTTTCAGCTTCTTTATTACTTGTATAATTTAATTATAATCAACATGATACTGACTTTTAATAATTTTATCTCAAAATCATGTACAAAAATGATTTATTTTCTTGAGAGTGTTCCCTTCAAAATGAAATTGAAATGTCTTGCATCTTATTTGTATGTCAGATTTTTAAAGGCTTGCATTGCAAAGATTTAGAACGACTAGGGTTTGTCACTCGGGGGGGACCAGTAATTTTAGAATGGGAGCCATGGCCACCACTTGGGGCCACCATTGCCAACACCATCATAGAATTTGCAGACAACGCCACAGTGAATTGGACTCACCATCAAAAGAGATGAAACAACCTACAGGGATGAGGTTCAGAAACTGTCAGCAAGGTGTTTGGTAAATGACTTGGCACTAAATATGACAAAGACAAAACAATTCATTACTGGCTTCAGAAGGAAAAGAACAGATTCAGCTCCACTTGACATCAATGGGGAATGTGTGGAGAGGGTTCACACCTTTAAAATCCTGGGAACTTGCATCTCTCATGATCCCTTTTGGTCTGCCAATACCACTGCGATCACCAAGAAGGTGCAGCAGCGATTACATTTCCTGAGAATACTCTGGAGGTAAAACTGCTGGTGTCCTACTGTTCTTGCATCAAGTGTACTGGCCTACTGCCTTTCAATGTGGTATGACAGCTGCTCCACAGCAGACCGCAAAGCACATCAGAGAGTCATAAACAGTACATAAAATTGCTGCCTATCATCTTCCCTCCTTGGACAATATTTCCAGCTCTCATCGCCTCTGTAGAGTAACACACATCTTGTAGCAGAGGTTGTATTTGTTTTCAGTGAGAATGCATACTTCCTTTATTTGTCGTGAATCACAAACAGGAAAGAAGGGCAATGTTTGGTTCTAAGCAGAACTGATATGCAGCACCATCTTTGGAGGATAAGATGGAGGTCCCCTTTTTTTAGATGCCACAAAATAATGGACAGCTTTAATAATTCTGTCAGGTTTGTTAACATGCATGTTTATATGTGAGGTTTTACACTGCACCAAGATTATCTGTTTACAACTGGGACTGTATAAGTGTTCAACAAGGGGCTGAATCCAGCCTGTCTGGACTAGGGGTGCAGTAAAAAAAAAAAAAAGTCAGGGGAGCATACTGTCAACACACTTTTGTTTTAACCTTGTTGTTTTATGTATAAACATTTTATAAAGTTCTTTAAAACTATCTTCTTAATTTTCTCAATGCCACAGCCTTGGAGAAATTCTAATTTTTCTGTTGGATCTTTACTATATATTTTAGTGCAGATATATTGTTTTTTCCTGCAATAGTATTTTAAACTTTTTTTATATTATAACTGACACTTAAAACATACTGGTTTAAACTTCTGTACAAACAAAGAAGCTTCTGGCAGTTCGTCAGCTGGTAACCATGAAGTTTGTCAACAGAAAGCAGGATGTCTTTGGGTTCTTCAGTATGTCTGGACTTCCTGTTGAACCACTTCTAGAAGGAGCTGCAGCTCTAAGCTGCAGTAGTCTGGGAAAGGGGAAGAGAACCAGAGTTATTTTCCCTGGTCAATCCCTAACCCTCAGCTCTGGGTTTAAAATTAATATGTCAGAGACCTGGTTAACAAAATTATTTATTTCACAAAGCTAGGGTAAAAAGTCCACAGAAGGATTTAATAAGCTGTGTGGCCATGTGAAACGTACATTTTACTTTCACTGCTGTGTAATATTTACCAACATTCTACATTTGGAGAGCACTTTCAGTAAGATTTCTGATTTAGCTCCAGGTCTGTGTTTTGTCTTTAACTGAAAAAAAGTAAAACACAAACCCAGGACTAACAGGGTTGCTGTCCTGCATGAATCTAGTGTGAAAAGCAAATTAGTTGTTTCTTATAAACAAACTTACCCATGCTCGAAAAGCAGATGAATTTCACTCATTTAGCTCCGCATGAATATGTCAGCTTTGATTCAAAATGAGCAGGCATATGAAATCATTCAATTTTAACATCCAGGAAAGTTTAATTTAATTTACAAATATTGAAAATACAGATGAATATTCTTCCACCAAAATGGAAATTTCCCACATTAAATGGCTGTTTGAGACATTTTCTGTTCAAACTTTTCACCAAACACAAGTTGGCAGATCTTAGTATGACTTACTGAAGATGTGTCTCCACCTGTGGGGCAGGCGGAAGCGGTGGACAGTCAAATAATAAACTGGGACTCCAGTCAGTGTGAGAGCACAGCTTATCCCTGTGTTCCAGGGGTCTGAATACAGAGACATACCCACGATGAAGAAGCAAACCACTGTAAAGATGAATGTGATGGCCACAGGCACCTTTGGGTTTTTAGACAAAGCAAATAACATTTGGTCAGGCTAGTGTGCAGATGGATAAGAAATGCTTTGCAGTTGAGTGCTATAACTACTGGCAGGCTAACTTTGAAAGGTCTTGGGTGGAGGGGGAAGCGGTACCGATGGATGAGCATCCCCAAGGTTGCCAAGGCCATGAAAAACCAGTGAGCAAAGGAAACAATGTTGATGAGCTGGTAGATCTCTCCAACGATCACAATGAACACAGTCAAGGGGTACTGGAGACACAGACAAAACAGCTGTAGTGACATACCACCATTCAGTCCAAGTCTGTTGTAACTGTTTTATACAGTGACATAGAGGATAGTAAAGCACAGTGATTAGAAAACAAGACAAAGACATTGCTGGATTTCCTTTTACTTTACAGTGTGAGGGATGTACTTTACCAGTAATAGCACAGCAGGCAAAGGTGTATGTCTGTGAATGTGAATCATGGAAAAGATTGGTGGCCAGTGGCCCTCCCTGGCTCCTACAAACAGCATCCTGCAATAAAGACAGTAGGACTTGAGAATGGACCTGCCAGAGCCCTTAGTTGAACTGAAGCATTTATGTCAAATACATTACCTGGGTGTTCCAAAGAAGCCACCATTAAGTGTTCCAAGGCAGGATAAAGCCACGAGAACGGGAATCACAGCAGCCAGTCCCTGGAGAGTGCGGTTGGCAAACGTCTGTAGAGACACAGACCCTGAATCAGATCAATGCTCCAACATACTGTTCCTTATTTATGCCCTCTGATCTGGTCTTTTGATTTCAGAATGCTGTACAATGTAGCACTGACCACAGCCACGGCATCAGACAGCAGCAGCTCAGCAGGAGATATCATGGTGTAGTAGGCCACATTAACAAGCACATAAAAAACTGTCACTGTCACCATGGAGCAGATTATTGCTAGTGGGATGTTTCTGACAAGACAGGATACAAACTGAGATGTATAATTATATTATCAAGGCAAGACAGATTTTAAAAATTGATTAATTAGAGAGCAAATGTCAAATGCAAAATACCTATTTGGGTTTATGACTTCTTCTGTGACATAGTTCA